AGCCCACCAAAGCCTACTTGGGTCATCCAGAAGCTCACATCCATCCCAAGAGCACTTCTAGCCCACCAAAGCCTACTTGGGTCATCCAGAAGCTCACATCCATCCCAAGAGCACTTCTAGCCCACCAAAGCCTACTTGGGTCATCCAGAAGCTCACATCCATCCCAAGAGCACTTCTAGCCCACCAAAGCCTACTTGGGTCATCCAGAAGCTCACATCCATCCCAAGAGCACTTCTAGCCCACCAAAGCCTACTTGGGTCATCCAGAAGCTCACATCCATCCCAAGAGCACTTCTAGCCCACCAAAGCCTACTTGGGTCATCCAGAAGCTCACATCCATCCCAAGAGCACTTCTAGCCCACCAAAGCCTACTTGGGTCATCCAGAAGCTCACATCCATCCCAAGAGCACTTCTAGCCCACCAAAGCCTACTTGGGTCATCCAGAAGCTCACATCCATCCCAAGAGCACTTCTAGCCCACCAAAGCCTACTTGGGTCATCCAGAAGCTCACATCCATCCCAAGAGCACTTCTAGCCCACCAAAGCCTACTTGGGTCATCCAGAAGCTCACATCCATCCCAAGAGCACTTCTAGCCCACCAAAGCCTACTTGGGTCATCCAGAAGCTCACATCCATCCCAAGAGCACTTCTAGCCCACCAAAGCCTACTTGGGTCATCCAGAAGCTCACATCCATCCCAAGAGCACTTCTAGCCCACCAAAGCCTACTTGGGTCATCCAGAAGCTCACATCCATCCCAAGAGCACTTCTAGCCCACCAAAGCCTACTTGGGTCATCCAGAAGCTCACATCCATCCCAAGAGCACTTCTAGCCCACCAAAGCCTACTTGGGTCATCCAGAAGCTCACATCCATCCCAAGAGCACTTCTAGCCCACCAAAGCCTACTTGGGTCATCCAGAAGCTCACATCCATCCCAAGAGCACTTCTAGCCCACCAAAGCCTACTTGGGTCATCCAGAAGCTCACATCCATCCCAAGAGCACTTCTAGCCCACCAAAGCCTACTTGGGTCATCCAGAAGCTCACATCCATCCCAAGAGCACTTCTAGCCCACCAAAGCCTACTTGGGTCATCCAGAAGCTCACATCCATCCCAAGAGCACTTCTAGCCCACCAAAGCCTACTTGGGTCATCCAGAAGCTCACATCCATCCCAAGAGCACTTCTAGCCCACCAAAGCCTACTTGGGTCATCCAGAAGCTCACATCCATCCCAAGAGCACTTCTAGCCCACCAAAGCCTACTTGGGTCATCCAGAAGCTCACATCCATCCCAAGAGCACTTCTAGCCCACCAAAGCCTACTTGGGTCATCCAGAAGCTCACATCCATCCCAAGAGCACTTCTAGCCCACCAAAGCCTACTTGGGTCATCCAGAAGCTCACATCCATCCCAAGAGCACTTCTAGCCCACCAAAGCCTACTTGGGTCATCCAGAAGCTCACATCCATCCCAAGAGCACTTCTAGCCCACCAAAGCCTACTTGGGTCATCCAGAAGCTCACATCCATCCCAAGAGCACTTCTAGCCCACCAAAGCCTACTTGGGTCATCCAGAAGCTCACATCCATCCCAAGAGCACTTCTAGCCCACCAAAGCCTACTTGGGTCATCCAGAAGCTCACATCCATCCCAAGAGCACTTCTAGCCCACCAAAGCCTACTTGGGTCATCCAGAAGCTCACATCCATCCCAAGAGCACTTCTAGCCCACCAAAGCCTACTTGGGTCATCCAGAAGCTCACATCCATCCCAAGAGCACTTCTAGCCCACCAAAGCCTACTTGGGTCATCCAGAAGCTCACATCCATCCCAAGAGCACTTCTAGCCCACCAAAGCCTACTTGGGTCATCCAGAAGCTCACATCCATCCCAAGAGCACTTCTAGCCCACCAAAGCCTACTTGGGTCATCCAGAAGCTCACATCCATCCCAAGAGCACTTCTAGCCCACCAAAGCCTACTTGGGTCATCCAGAAGCTCACATCCATCCCAAGAGCACTTCTAGCCCACCAAAGCCTACTTGGGTCATCCAGAAGCTCACATCCATCCCAAGAGCACTTCTAGCCCACCAAAGCCTACTTGGGTCATCCAGAAGCTCACATCCATCCCAAGAGCACTTCTAGCCCACCAAAGCCTACTTGGGTCATCCAGAAGCTCACATCCATCCCAAGAGCACTTCTAGCCCACCAAAGCCTACTTGGGTCATCCAGAAGCTCACATCCATCCCAAGAGCACTTCTAGCCCACCAAAGCCTACTTGGGTCATCCAGAAGCTCACATCCACCCCAAGAGCACTTCTAGCCCACCAAAGCCTACTTGGGTCATCCAGAAGCTCACATCCACCCCAAGAGCACTTCTAGCCCACCAAAGCCTACTTGGGTCATCCAGAAGCTCACATCCACCCCAAGAGCACTTCTAGCCCACCAAAGCCTACTTGGGTCATCCAGAAGCTCACATCCACCCCAAGAGCACTTCTGGTCCACCAAAGCCTACTTGGGTCATCCAGAAGCTCACATCCACCCCAAGAGCACTTCTGGTCCACCAAAGCCTACTTGGGTCATCCAGAAGCTCACATCCACCCCAAGAGCACTTCTGGTCCACCAAAGCCTACTTGGGTCATCCAGAAGCTCACATCCACCCCAAGAGCACTTCTGGTCCACCAAAGCCTACTTGGGTCATCCAGAAGCTCACATCCACCCCAAGAGCACTTCTGGTCCACCAAAGCCTACTTGGGTCATCCAGAAGCTCACATCCACCCCAAGAGCACTTCTGGTCCACCAAAGCCTACTTGGGTCATCCAGAAGCTCACATCCACCCCAAGAGCACTTCTGGTCCACCAAAGTGTACTTGGGTCATCCAGAAGCTCACATCCATCCCAAGAGCACTTCTAGCCCACCAAAGCCTACTTGGGTCATCCAGAAGCTCACATCCACCCCAAGAGCACTTCTGGTCCACCAAAGCCTACTTGGGTCATCCAGAAGCTCACATCCACCCCAAGAGCACTTCTAGCCCACCAAAGCCTACTTGGGTCATCCAGAAGCTCACATCCACCCCAAGAGCACTTCTGGTCCACCAAAGCCTACTTGGGTCATCCAGAAGCTCACATCCACCCCAAGAGCACTTCTAGCCCACCAAAGCCTACTTGGGTCATCCAGAAGCTCACATCCACCCCAAGAGCACTTCTGGCCCACCAAAGTGTACTTGGGTCATCCAGAAGCTCACATCCACCCCAAGAGCACTTCTAGCCCACCAAAGTGTACCGGGGTCATCCAGAAGCTCACATCCATCCCAAGCATGCTTCTGGTCAATCAAAATACACATGGGTCATCCAAAAGTGCATATCCATCCCAAACATGCTTTAGGTCAACCAAAACCCACAACTCGGACGTGGAAATCTCAGCTCTGACTCTGCCCACCAGCCCTCATCCCAGCATGGATGAATTGGATTTAAAGGCAGCCTCGAATGCATTAACACCTGCCTTACTTCAGCATACGTTTCTCCTTTTTCCCCTCTGAGAGAACATAAATTATGCCCCACAGCCCCAAAACAGAAGAAATTTGTGTCTTATAAAATTGTTGTTAGAAAGTGGCAGGAGCATCCAGAAATCCTCTGTCCTCAGCCTGGGTGTTTTTTCCTTAAAAGGAAGCTCAAACCTATCAAAACAGCCTTCTAACCCACTTCTGAAGAAA